GCCGCTTCCCCCCCCCCCCCCCTGGACGTGTCAAGGGGGGGAGGGAGGGGGCCACCCCCCCTCCACGATGGAGCCCCCTCTGGTAGCATCTCCCCGTCATCATCGTCGTGACACAGGTGGGTGGGGTGGAAACCTTAATCGGGACCCGCACCCTTACAGTGCCGGATTTACGCATAGACTAAATAAACTCCAGCTTAGGGCCTCGCAATCTGCTGGGGCCTCGAATAAAAACACAATATAAAAAATGAAACGGCGCTGAGAGAACTGTGACTGACCCAAGGCCACCCAGCTGGCTGCCTGTGGAGGAGGAGTGGGGAATCAGTCCTGGCTTCCCAGATTACAGTCCGCCGCTCTTCACCATGACACCACAGCCGGTCCTCTCTGGGCCAGCTCTGCTGGTGGGATCTGAATGGTCAGGCAGGAGCCAGGTTTCAGGCAGGTTGGAGACCATTCAGATCCCACCAGCAGAGCTGGCCCAGAGAGGACCGGCTGTGGTGTCATGGTGAAGAGCGGCGGACTGTAATCTGGGAAGCCAGGACTGATTCCCCACTCCTCCTCCACAGGCAGCCAGCTGGGTGGCCTTGGGTCAGTCACAGTTCTCTCAGCGCCGTTCTCTTGGAGCTTTCTCAGCTCCACCTGCCTCACAGGGTGGGGAGACGAAGGGAGGGAAACGGTCAGCTGCTCTGAGCCTCCAAGTGAAGGGTGGGGTATGAATCCAACTCTCCTCCTCTCCCAGGAACCTGGGTGGAGGGGGGCTGCTTTCTTTGCAAAAATGGATCATGCTGGCGAGGGGAGCTAAGCCACACCCCCGTGCACACCTCCACCAGTTTCCTTCCAGGAGGCTCTGAAGTTGGTTTCCAGTTCCTTATACACACATCCTAGTGAATCCAGCCACAAAAATGGACAATAGTAATAAAGCTCTATACCCCACAGTGAGATCTATGCTGTCCCCTGCTTCAAAGCCTAGTTTTTGGACTAACAGCTTCAAAACACAGAACAAAGGTTGAGTCCAGTGGGGCACCTTTAAGACACCTTTAGGTTGAGTCCAGTGGGGCACCTTTAAGACACCTTTAGGTTGAGTCCAGTGGGGCACCTTTAAGACCAACAAAGTATTATTCAAGGTATGAGCTTTTGTGTTGCACACACACTTCTTCAGATACATTGAAATGGAAGTTACCAGTTCATGTTTGCCCTACATAGAGAGCCAAAGAACATTGTTGGCACTTAGTAGAATATACAGTGTTAGAAGATGAGTATGTGAATAAGCCTGAGATGGTTGATTGATGTTGTTAAGTCCAGTGTGGGTGTATGTGGCAGCAAAGTTGGCAACTGGGTTTGTTGCAAGATCTGGTACTGGTCAGTGTTCTCTCTAAGCTGAGTTAGTGTGAGCTAGCTCACAGTTTGTTAGCCTCCAGCTCACGCATTTTTGTCTTAGCTCAGGAAGGATGGGGCTCCAGAGCAAACTAATTTATGCAGCGGCCAAATCGCTTGCTCACCACTTTAATGCCAGCAGCTCACAAAGTAGAATTTTTGCTCACACGACACCACAGCTTAGAGGGCGCATTGGTACTGGTGTCCATGTTCAGATTAGATGCTGTGTTATTGTGGGTGAGGAGTGGTTTGAGATTGGGGAGCTGTCTGTGCGCAAGAAAGTTTTGCCCCCCAATACATGTGAAAGAGAACTGTCATTATCCAGTAGAGATTGTAAGTCATTGATGATGCCTTGAACTGTTTGGAGTTGAGAGCTGTATGTTACCATTAGTGGTACCAGATGTTAGTGTCCCTTTTGGGCCTGTCTTGCAACAGTTTTTTTCTGGGTACTATTCTTGCTTTGTTAATCTGTTTCTTGACTTCATCAGGTTGACACTTTAGTTCCAAAAAGGTTTGCTGTAGATCCCTCAGATGAGAATCTCTGTAGAACTGGAGGAGATGCAGCTGTAGTGTAGAGCCTGGCTGTATACAGTGGATCATTTGGTATGTTTAGGATGGTAGCTGGAGGCATGTAGGTTTGGTGTAGTGGTTAAGTGTGCGGACTCTAATCTGGGAGAACCTGGTTTGATTCCCCACTCCTCCACTTGCACCTGCTGGATGACCTTGGGCAAGCCATAGTTCTGATAAAAGCTGTTCTTGAAAAAAGAGCCGTTTCTGTCAGAGCTCTCTCAGCCCTGCCTACGTCACAGGGTGTCTGTTGTGGGGAGGGGAGGGGAGGGGAGGGGAAAGGAGTTTGTAAGCCGCTCTGAGACACCTTTGGGTAGTGAAGGGCGGGGTATAAATCCAATCTCTTCTTCTTCTTCTTCTAGTTGGTCAGTAAGTTTCCCATATAAGGTGGTGTCTATGTGTCCACTGTGTATTTTTACAGTAATGTCTAGAAAATGTCTAGAAAATGTATTTCTTGCATAGATTGGTTCGTTGTCAGGTTGATGATGGGGTGAAAGTCATTTAATGCCTGGTGGAATATGTCCAGGGCTTCTCTGCTATGTGTCCAGACAATCAAAAACCCTTAGGGCTTCTGTCACAAGTACCCTAATCAATTTCTTCAGGGTTCAACAAGGAATAACACTGGCTGTTGGGGAGCTTGCAAAGAATGTTGCATTAGGAAGATCCAACATTAGGATCTCTTAACATAGGCTAAGTATGCCTCAACTGTTAAGAGATTTCAAATAGGCATTCTTGCATATTTAAAACATATTGGTGAATCATGGTGATTGCAGTTCAAAAAGAAAAGCAAGCTATGCAACATTGAAGCCAGTCCACCCTTTTCTGAAATCAGAGTGGCCACTAGTCACATAAGAAGACCTAGAGCAATGGGCAAACTGGCTGTCAAGGAAGGTTGCCTGCTATTAATGAGCTGCTCATTGATTGCATCCCTCATAAACGTCTGTGGTAGCCTAGGAACACCAGGCTAGTTTATCCCATCAGATTTTCCTTGCTATATTTTGAATGTTATAGATTCCCCACCACCACCACCACCACCACCACTGAATCCCTATTATGCTACTCTTTGCAGGTCTTTGGACAGGTGTGGGATCTTGACTCCCAGGAGACCTTGTGACCTGGATGAAGTCTGATGCAAGGCTGAAGTGGCTCAAACAGAGCTGCTGAGTCAAAGATGCCAACTAAGCACTTGATTAAACATTTGACTTGATTGAGGGTCCCCAGCAGCTCTGGCTCCCAGCTCAATCACCCAGCTTTAACAAATAGCACCTTGGACAGGGCAGGGCAAAACTCTAAATCACTGTGTGCCTGGCTTTGGGAAAAGAGATGGATGGATAAAGGGGGAATTTATGGCTCAGTACTAGAGTAGGTAAATGTATTCAGATGACCCCAGCATGTAAGGTCCTGGAGCTGGGAAAATGTATATGTCTGGATCCTTGGACTGCGAGTACCAGATGAACCAAACATTTGTGTAAGGATTGCCTCATCTGTTCATAAGACCTTTGTTGTCCTGCAGCGGAGAGGCTATTTTAGAAGCACCATGGTGAAGTACCCTCTTTAAATGTGACTGCACTGATCACTCAGGATCGCTGTAAGATCGTCTGTGCTATTCAGTGGCTGCAGGTGGCTGAGTCCAGCTGTTTGATAGGACCAGATGGCGCTCCATTAACTCCACGTGGCACCGACTGAGTTTTAGAAGGACGTGCCCTCTCCTAAGGCTTGAACCCCCCACACACTTCCTACACCCCATCCCCACCCCCCATGTGCCCCACGGACTCTCCCGTGTGTGTGTGTGGGGGGGGGACATGATGGGCTGGTTTCCCTGGCCCAAAGCCTGGTTTTTCTGCCGGCAGGGCCGAAGTGTGGCCTAGGCTTGGCTTGCCCCTTCTGCCCGTGGAGCAGTCTGGGGAGGGGCCTCGGCAGGGCCCAAGGAGGCCCTCCAGAGCAGCCCTCTTCTCCCCCAGGGGAGCGGGTCTCTGTCAGCGGGAGGCCCCCCCGGCCCCACCTGGAGCCCCCCGGGCCCACCTGGAGGTTCCGGCCCCCCGGCCCTGTGCCTGGCCCGCCTGGCGCCGGAAGGGGCGGGGCGCTGCTCCTCCTCCTCCTCCTGGGCCGGCGCAAGATGGCGGGGGTCGCCGGTCGGCGGCTGCTCCTCCTGGGCCCGCCGCGCCTGCTCCTCCTGGGCCGGCCTCTGCGGTCCGCGCTGCAGCCACTGCCTGGGGGGCGGCGAGGCCTGGCGGGAGGAGGCGGCGGAGGCGAGGGGCCGGAGGCGGGAGGGGCCCCGCGCCGTTACGGCCTGGCCTACACCTGCAAGGTAAGGGAGGGGGGTGGGCGGGGCCGGAGCGAG